TCCATCTGCAGGTGTTTCACAGCAAGAAAGAGATCTCAGAGATCAGGTCCCGGTACTGGTGAAAAAAGGCAGCCTGGGGCCACACAGAACTTGCTGCAGCTTCTTCTTCAGACAGAAAGAAAGAAAGAAAGAAAGAAATGTGTTTTCATGTTCCTGTGTCTCTGGAGAGGAAGAAAGTTTAATTATCCACGTGGGAAAAAGAAGAAATGCTGTGTAAAAGTGCAGGGGACCCTCATCCATCAGCAGCTTCCAAACCAGAAGTGATGGTGAGAGTGGGACAAATCAAACAAGTTTCTTCCTATTTAAAACCAATTATTTTCAGCAAGCAGTAAAATCCCTGGAAAAGGATTTATTTTTAGCCCTCCCGGACTGGGTGTGGCCTGGGGAGCCACCAGCCAAGAAGCAGATAATGCCTTTTCATTTTAGATCAGCTCATAGCAATGTCACCCTGACCTTACACATCACTTTTCAAACAGCCTTAAGCCAAATGCTGTCTCACCAGAGCTAATCCCGCCGGGCTCCCTCTCCCTGACCCCGCCTGCGTGAGCGGGACCCTCCTTAGCCCTAAATCCCTCCTCCCCCGGGCGGCACGACAGCCGGAGAATTACACAACTTTTCCTTCTGCTCCCTGAGGATACTTGTCCTGACCGCAGTTCATCCCCGGCTGCGCGAAGGGACATTCATTCACAAAGGCTCAGGAGGTGCCAACAGCGGCAACGTGGGCGGTGAAAACACCCACGGTCAATAATCATCCATAAGGAAATTCCTTTATTACTTTATTTTTTGTTTGTTTAGTGCCCTTCATGTGCTGCAGCCTCAGAGATAAAATCTTGGGAGGACCAACCTCATCATCACATTGCTGGATTAGGCTTCATCACCTCAAAAAAAGGCTGAACAAATTCTAGGAGTCCTTTTAGGACCTTCCTACCATTCCCTTGGTCCTTAAACGTCTGTAATTTCCAAAAAAAACCCAGGTTTTGACTAAATGTTTGATGCCAGAAGAAAAGCACCAGGGAAATGCTACTCAGTGCTTGCAGCAAGGGAGCAGAGGAGTTATCCAAAGCATTTCCCTCTCTCCTACGTAATTCCATTAGGTGAGCCCTCAGCATTCCTTGGAAAATTCTCCACACAAATTCATCCCCTTCAGACATCCCAATGTGCTTCACAACACATCTGCCCCCAAACAATGCTCCTTCATCACACACCAGCACCCCAAAAACCCCACAAGTAACACTGGGATGCCAGCATGGATCCATCCCCACGTGCTCCAGATTCCCTTCTGGGATCCAGCTGTGCTGGATGCACAAATCCCAGTCAGAAGGAAGGAATCCCCTCTTTCCCCTCAGAATTTCCTCTGCACCTCAGCAAACACCAACAGAAATTTAAAGCTGCCCAAATCACTTCCAATCATTTCATTCAACTCCAAACTGGGAAGGGGGAACAGAGGAATAGGCTGGGAGCAGGCTCCAGCACATCCTTACCTTTTCCTTGTGCTCCCTTCCAGCCAAGGAAAGCAGTGCAGCCCCTGGCAGCAGCACAGCCTCTGGGGACAGAGCCGGGCTATTTGTGAGCTCCTAAAGCCTTAATTAACGAGGTGCAATGTGAAGACGGCCAATGAGAACGATCCTGCTGAGCTTTAATCTCCCTCCGGCGGTTCCTCCTCCACTTCCTGCTCTCCTGGCTGGCAAAGCTACACTCAACACCCCCAAAAGGCTGAGGGGTGCCGGTCCTTGCTGCTCTGGGATTATGGAAAACAGCAAAGCTGTCCCTGCAGTCTCTGAGGGCACAGGGATTTTGTCTGTGTAAAATCCTGGAACGGTTTGTGTTGGAAGGAACCTCCCAGACCATCTAATTCCAAACCCCTGCCATGGGCAAGGGCAATTTCCACTAGACCAGGCTGCTCCAAGCTCCATCCAACCTGGAACACTTCCAGGCACTCTCCTTCTGCAGGAACATTCCTCTTGCTTTGGACCAAATCCACACAGCTTCACCTCAGGTCCACGACCACAAAGGTAACAGCAAAACTCCTTCTCCCGCTCACAGATCCAAACCACTTCCACAGTGGGACTCTCTCCTTCATTTTACTCCCTTTTCTTTCTCCAAAATATTCATAACTAAGAGAAAAGACACCTGGGTTGTCATCACGTCTCACTTCTTTCAAAACAGCTAAAAATAAACCTAAAGGCTTGCAGGTGTTTCCTCCTGCCTCCCTTGTGAATCCTTTCTCTTGCTGGAGATCTGCAGAGGAAAACTGAGAGGAAACGAAATCCATTTCCACTCCCAGAGGAATGGGCTGGGGCCTCACAGGGGGAAAGATGGCAAAGTGGGAATTTCACAGAATTCCAACAAAGCTGGGTTGGAAGTAACCTTGAAGCTCATCTTGTCCCACCCCTGCCATGGCAGGGACACCTCCCACTATCCCAGGCTGCTCCAAGCCCTGTCTAACCACGGACACTTCCAAGGATGGAGCATCCACAATTTCCCAGGGCAATCCCACGATGTCCCTGCCCTCATTCCCTGATAACAGCTCCTCCCTCCCACCCCACAGTTAAAGCAACAAATGAACCCCCCAAACCCCAGGTCTGGTGCATGTGGGACATTTTTCTCTCTTCTGTTTGGTTCCAGGAATGATCAGTCCATCATATTTCCCAGCTAGCTGCAGCAGGAATGTCACAAAGATGTATTTATTTTAGGCAGAAGCACATTTTTTTTTTAGCCCTTTTGTCAGACTTTGGCATTTTCAGAGCAGCCAATCTGCAAATAGCCAGCACAGAGAGTTTCCTAAAAATGGATTGGGATGCAGCCTAATCCACCAAAACCACTGCAGAGTTGATCAACAAGAGAACAGCTCAACTAATTAACAACATTAATTATCTACCACACCTGGGAGTGAGGACAAACAGCCACATAAACCCCTCTGGGCTGCAGAAAGATGAAGTGGTCACAGGAGGATGCAAGGCAAGGTAAGGTTAGGTTTCTGGTCTGATTGTGCTGCTAAATTCAACCTCGTTAGGTGACAACATAACCAGGGAAGCAAAGGACAGACATCACAAGAGTTAAATTAAAACTGATTAGCAGAGAGGCTTTACAGGGAAAGCAAAGCCCCTTTATGAAGAAGAAAAGAAGATTAAAGCACAGTTTCCCTGGAGCCTTGAGAAAGGTCTCCTGGATTAGGATTATAATCCCACCCCCTATTTTTAGTAGGTTTGTTAGCAGGTGCCACCCCCATCCTTCAAAGGTTTGGGACAGGTTCAGAAAGGGAGGGAGCTCCTGCTGTGACAGACAGGGAATTATCTGCAGCACAGGAGCAGGGAGGTTCCAGCCTTCCAGCTTTACTCATCCTGTGACTCTTTGAGGAGCAGAGCATCCCACAGTGCTACAGAGCTGGAACTCAGCCACCTTTTTCCTGGAAATAATTACCTAAAAAAAAAGCACTAATTAACCTCTCCACTGGCTGCGCTCCTGGCTTGCAGGGAGCAGTGATGCTGCAGACAGAACACAAACCATTTGCTCAAGGTCACTGCAGAAATCAGGGATGTCCAAACCAGTTATTCCCAGACCAGTTTAACCCACCTGGGAAAACCTCTGCAGAGGTGAAGCTCATACAGGTGTGGTTACCACCCACTTCCCCACACTTGTTTTTAGGACACCTGAGGAATGCTTATCCCTAAACCCCTCTTACCTCACCGCAGCCCACAGTGCCCACAAACCCCACCTGATTCCACGAGCACATCCCTGATCAGGGACATCTTGGAGCTGCCCTGGAGCAGCTCAGTCATGGGGACCCGATGTCAGCCCCCTCATCCAGGGGGTCCTGTGGGGGAACAGCATCCCCACGTCGGTACCTCAGTGTCCCCATGAGGCACTCAGCAGCCTGGGACCCCTCAGCTCAGGGCTGCCATGAGGGGCTGAGGGCCATCAATCCAGGACCCCGTGACCAGCTGAGCATCCTGGGGCCTGCTGGACGCTCTCAGCCCAAGGCCTTTCTGACGAGCTGAGTACCCAAAGGCCAGCCAGGACTCCTCAATCCAGGGCCCCCAAGAGGGGCTGAACACCCGGGGACCCCTCAGCAGAGGAACCCCGTGAGGAGCTCGGCAGCCCAGGGCAGGTTGGGCCTCTTCAGCCAGTGGCCCCTGTGAGGGGGCTCAGAATCCTGGTGGCGGCCAGGACTCCTCATTCCAGGCCCTCCATGAGGGGCTGAACGCCCCGAACCCACTCAGCCAAGGATCCCTGTGAGTGACCGAGCTCCTCGGGGTGGTTAGACCCCCTCTGTCCACGGCCCTTGTGAGGGTCTCGGCACCCCGTGGCCAGCTGTGCCCGTTAGCCTGCGGTCCCCGTGAGGGTGTGATCCCCGCTCCCCATCCCCGCTCACCCGCCCGGGCGATCCCCGCCCCGCGCATCCGCCTGAGGATCATGAGGGGATGGGGGGGGCGCTCCCGGCAGCCCCCGCGCGCGCCCGCCGCCACCGCCGCGCTCCCTGCCTGACGTCACCGCGGGGCGGGGCCCTGGGGAGGGCGCGGTCACGTGAGTGCGGGGCGGCGGGACGGACCACGCGCCGCGCCGGGCGGGGGGAGTGGGGGGTGAGCGTGGCTGGGGCGCTTGGGGATGAACCATGATGGTGGGAAGGGGGGGGGCAGCACCGGCAGGGCCGTCACTTGGAGAGGGGAGCTGGGGGAGAACGGAGGGGGCAACATGTATTGAACCATGGCGGAGTGGAGGGGGGCGGTGTTGGACCGAACCACGATGGGGTGGTGGGAGCCATAGCGGGGTTGGAGATGGGAGGGCTGAACCAAGGTGGGTGTGGGGGGGAGGCATTATGGGACTGAAACGTGGTGGGGCGGTGGTGGGCTGAACCATGACGGGGGAACTGACCCATGGCTGGGCAGGGGGAGGCGTGTTGGGCTGAACCACTTCGGGAATGGGGGAACCATAGTGGGGCTGAACCATGGTGAGGGCGGGGGGAGCCATCAGTGAGCCAAACCATGGCAGGAGCTGTCATGGGGCTGCAGACGGGATGCGATAGCTTCATAGTGATGAGGACACGGGGGTGTCACCCCACGGCCACCCCAAAACCTCTCCTTGTCCCCAGGTGTCCCCAGGCTGTGTCATCCGCTCTGTTTGCTGAAGCTGGGCTGAGATGGCAGCGAGCCGGGCGCTGAGGTGAGCACGGAGTGACCCAGCAGCACAGTGCTGGGTCACAGGCTGTGACCCTCTGGGAGCGTTCTGCTGCAGCTCCTGTCACCCTCACGGTGACACTACCCCTGTCCCACCCTTCTCCCCGCAGTGCCCTGCGCCTCCCGGCTGTGTCCCGGCTGCCCCTCACGGCCTGTGTCCGCAGCAACTCCAACCGCGCCGCCATCTGCCACCTGCACCGGCAGCTCTACGGCCGCCGCTACCCCGTGCTGCTGGTCAGCACCGACGGCTCCACCGTGCGCCTGCGCTACAGCGAGCCCAAGAGGATCCTCATGGTACGGGCACAGCGAGGCTGGCGGCCTCGGGCTGTGTCACAGGGGCTCGTGGCATGGCTGTGGCCTGTGCCAGGGGGGCTCATGCACTGTCCTGGGGCCTGATGATGTCCCTGGGATCTCACAGCATGTCCCAAGGATCTCACCCTGTGTGCTGGGAGCTCACAGCATGTCCCAGGGATCTCACAGCATGTCCCAAGGATCTCACCCTGTGTGCTGGGAGCTCACAGCATGTCCCAGGGATCTCACAGCATGTCCCAAGGATCTCACTCTGTGTGCTGGGATCTCACAGCATGTCCCAAGGATCTCACCCTGTGTGCTGGGATCTCACAGCGTGTCCCACGGATCTCACCCTATGTGCTGGGATCTCACAGCGTGTCCCAAGGATCTCACCCTATGTGCTGGGAGCTCACAGCATGTCCCAAGGATCTCACGCTGTGTGCTGGAGGTCCCGTACCATGTCCCAGCGGTTTCATGCAGTGTCGTGGGGCTGTCACACTGTGTCCCCGCGGTCTCACCCCATGTCCTCCGTGTCCCCAGCTGCCCCTGGACAGTAGCACGCTGCCCGAAGCCGAACGCAAGGCTCGTCTGCGCCGGCAGTTCCCCAGCAAGCCTAAGGCCAAGGAGGAAGAAACCTTCGAGGGCATCGACCTGGACACCTACAAGAAGTTCTGGAAGAAGTGAATCGCTGAAAGCAGAAATGTATAAACGGATAAATAAATATATATAAACAAAGCCGTGTTGTCGGCGGTGCGGCTCTGCGGGGTTCCCCCCGCGCTAGGCGGCGCGGTGGTACCGCCCATCCCGGCCGTTTCCCCCCCCCGGCGGTGCCCGCGGTGGTAGCGGCGGGGCGCGCGCGCGCTCGGCGGCCGGAGGTGCGTGAGAGGAGCGGGGACGGGTTGGGGATTTGGGGATTTGCGGATTTGGGGCTCTGGGTGTCACCCCGCGGGTTGGGCCTGCCTGGTCCTTGTACTCCCCAGCTCGGAGGGGCCCAGGCTGCAGGGAACCGCCCCGAGCCGCTTGCACACGCCTCGGGAACGGGCAAACTTCTACCTCAGGCCCTGCAGCGTCCAGGTTACTGCAGCTTCCCCTGGCCCTGAACTCCTTCCCAGACCCTGAAACTCTCCCGCAGGTAGTGTCCCACCCCGGGCCGTGCAGCCTCTTGTCGGGCTGTACCACCTCCCCTCCAGGCCGTGTAATGCCCAGGCCATGAACCCCCTCTCCCACTCTCATCCCATCCAGGCTGTGAACCTCGACCCTGAAACCTTCCCAGGCCATGAACTCTCCTCCTTGAAGCCCAAAACCCCCACGCAGGCATTAAACCCCACCATCAACCCAGACGCAGAACCTTCTCACTTCTAGTCCTGAACTCTTCCCTCACGGGCTGCAAATCCCCCTCGCTCTGCAACCTCTTCCCAGACCCTGAAACCCCAACTCGTGGCTGCCCCACTGCTGGCCCTAAACCCTGCTTGAGGCTCTGAACCCCATAAGGCCATGAACCCCCTTGAGGCTGCCCTAAGCCCCGCTCCTCACCCATTAACCTCTCCCGAAGCTGGAACCCTCCCACTCCGGGTTATAAACCCCCCCTACCAGTCTGTGACATCCTCACAAAAACCTTTAGTTACTCCACTGACCGCTGGGGGGCCAAATTTGCTTTTCTGCACCTTCAGGAGGCCCCCAGAGTTGCATGGAGGATCTGAAGTGGGTGAACCCAGGGCTGATCTCTTTGCAGGTCACCAGAATCCCCCAGATCTGCTGCGGGGTGCGGCGCCATGTTCGGCTCCTCCCGGGGCGGGGTCCGGGGGGGCCAGGACCAGTTCAGCTGGGAGGATGTCAAGACGGACAAACAGCGTGAGAATTACCTGGGTAAGGGCTGATCCTGCTCAAATCCCCTGTCCCACTCTCTCTGTCCCCTCTGCTCTGCTTTTGGGATGCAATGATGTTGAGGAGGGGTCATGGCTCCCCACAGGGAACTCCCTGATGGCGCCGGTGGGGCGGTGGCAGAAGGGCAAGGACCTCACCTGGTATGCCAAGGGCAAGAAGGACACGGGCCCCCCGTTATCCCGGGAGGAAGAGCTGGCTGCTGTCCGCCTGGCTGAGCAGGAGGCCATGATGGCAGCACTGTGAGTCCACACCCCACAAAAACCCCAAAAAACACGAGGTGTGTGTCCCTCCACACGTATCACCTGCTCTTGTTTTTATAGGGGCTACAAGAACTTGAAGAGGCAGCCCACGGGCGTCAGCAAAGAGGTAACAGAGGCACCACATGTCCCCTCAGTGTCCCCTGCACTCTGATTTTGGGGGGACACACACAGGACACTGTCCCCCCTCCCCACAGGACCTGGCTGAGGTGTGCAAGAGGGACGGCGCCGAGCGGGACGAGAAGGACGTGGATCGGGTGGTGGGTCTGGGCAGCTCCAGGTAAGGAGAGGAAAGGATCCCATACCAATTTCAGGACAATGTGTTTGATTTTAGTGTTTTTATGCTTTTTTTTGTGTGGTCTCTGTGCAGTGGCAGTGCTGGCCGGGTGATGCTCTCCAAGGAGGACAGAGAGGCAGCCAAGATGGGGCTCTCGGTCTTCACGGTATGGTGCCAATCACATCGTCCTTGGAAGGTTCAAAAATAGATGGAAAAAGGCAAAAAGCAGCACCTCACACTTGGAATATTTTATTTTAAAACCCTCTGGGTATTACAGCACAGAGACCTGCAGGAGTTTTCTGTGTCCTGTTGGCACAGAGTTAATTTGTGGGGCTTTAATTTGGAAGTAGCTCTTTAGGGTATTCTAATTTTTCTAATTTTTTCCCAAATGTAATTTAATTTTTTTTTCAAGTTTAATTTTTAAAGGGAGAAAAACTATTTGTCTTGTAATTACAAGCTGTGGCTCATTGATTCACTTTGTATTTTTTCCCCTCTCCAATCCTAGCACCAGAAAGTCTCCAGCAGCCCAGAGACATCTGCTTCCAAAAAGAAGCAGGAAGATGAAGAGAAGGTGGAGGAGAAACGGTGAGGATTTTTCCCACTTTGGTGGGAAACCACCAGAAATGCCCTGGATTTTGTGGGAAATACTTTACAAAATGTTTCCATGGCTCTGTTTGGCACTGGGCTTGTTTTGCATCTCTCTGAATCATCCCCAAAAGCCTCTGTAGGCTTCTCTTTGGCAAAGGAGGGATGTGGTGGGATGTGCCTGGAAAAAGGGATGGGGAGCCAGAGGGGGATGCACAGTGCAAGGATTCTCATTGCTTGATCTCTTCCCTGCAGACCTGAGAGCAGCAAAAAATCCAAAAAGGAGAAAAAGAAGGAGAAAAAGAACAAGAAAAAGAAGAAACATAAGAAGGAGAAGAAGAAGGACAAGGACAAGCATTCCAAGAAGGATGCTGCCCCATCATCCTCTGATTCTTCCCCAGATCGAGATAAGAGGTAACTGGGTTAGGATGGGGCATCATCAGTGGAAAACGGGAGGAAGGATTCAGGAGAGCCACGCGGTCATGGCTGGCATCAGAATGCCCCGTTGGCATCTCCTGGCTTTCCAAAATCCCCAGAATCACCTTGTTGATATCCCCCGCGTCCCCGCAGGCACCACCGCAGGAAAACGCAGCAGCACTCGGAGGCATCGCGGCACGGGGGCCGGCGGCGGCGGGACACGGAATCCTCGGCGAGCAGCGGCAATTGCGGCCGGAGCCCCGCCCGCCGGCGCAGCCGGAGCAGGGACGGCCGCGGCCGCCACCCGTCCCCGCGGAGAAAGGGCAGGAAGAGGAGCAGGTCCCGCTCCCCCCCGGCCCGCGGGGTCCGGCAGCGCCACGACACCGACTCGGAGGACTGAGAGGGAGCCTGGGGGTTGTTTCAGGGAGATCTTCCATAGATTTATATTTTTTAAGGTGATTAAATTAAAAAACGCTGCAGCTCTGCGGGTGCCGGGGCAGAGTCTGGCAAAGGGCATTAAAGCTGTGGTGCCAGCAGCCCCTTCCCTGCCCAGGGACAGCACCAGCAGGTGTGGGGGGCAGCAGGGCCTGGGCACCCTTCTCCTCATTCCCTAAAATCCATCCAGGCAGGATTGAGCACGGAGGATGCTGTGGGTGGGGGCTGGTGCTGGGGTGGTTCTGGCTGTGGTGCTGAAAATGCTGTGGATACCTCGTGTTTCTGTATAGAAACTTTGGAAGAGATTATTATTATTGCTATTATTATGGGTTTTTGTCTTTTTACCCTGCCCTTGAGTGTTTGCCAGTGCAGTGGCTGAAGAGTTTCTTTAAAAATTCCCTGAGTTCATCAGCTGCATGGATAGGAGCTTAAAGCTCATCTAGTTCCAATCCCCCTGCCATAGGCAGGGACACATTCCCCTGGGCCAAGTTGCTCCAAGCCCTGTCCAACCTGGCCTTGGACACCTAAATAATTCCTTAACTTAGGGAGAAAGTGGATGGGACCAGGTGTCTTCCATAGGCTTTTGCCCTGGCCACATCCACCCAGCCCAGGGAGCAGCAAACTCCATTCTCATCCAGGATTTAAACCCCCAGCACACGATTATTTATGGCATACTGAAAGAGGAGAGTTTTACACCAATAAATAGAAATATTGATCCCAATGGAAAGGGGGTGTCCCGAGCAGCTCTGGAGCGTCCCCGGCTGTGGTGTGGCCATGCCAAGCACAAGGGCCTCATTTGTGTAATTAATGATGCAATTGAAGACAGGGAGGGTTTGTGTGTCTTGGTGGACAAAAGCCCAGTGGGACCGTGCTCAGGAGCTCACAAAGCCCTTCTGTCCCAACGTGGGAGATGCTGCAGAGCCCTCACAGCCTTCGGTGATCCCCACCCCAGCACCATTTTTGGGGCTGGCAGTCTCTTGGCACGAGGGCTGCTCCTCGTGCTCTGAGCAGCTGCAGCTCCAGATCCATCCCAGGGATCCCCAGGGCACAGCTGGGGGGTCCCAGCACTCCCTGGCCAGGGACTCACCAGGCTGAGCTCGGGGTCACCTCCACAAGATTTTAGGATCCAAACTTGCTGGAGCCTGCTGGGAACATCCCAGAGCAGGACTGTGCCTAACAGGAACAGGTTGAAAAGGGAGGTAAGGGAGAGTACCACACATCCCAGTGTCCTGTTCCCTCATGGCTCCCACTTCCCAAGCTTTGGGATGGATGCTGTGGCAGGGCTGGGCTCTGCCAGGCTGATCTGCACCCACAGCTCCTCAGCAAAGGGAGAGGGTGGGTGCTGATGTGCCCAGCACCGTGGCAGAGGGGCCGGGGCACTGCTGGCCCAGCTCAGTTCATTTCTCCTGGGCTTTCTCCTGCTCTCCCCCATTCCTATCTCACACTCAAAACCAAGATTTGAGGAAAGCAGTTTGAGGAACACGGGAAACCAAAACTCAGGGGAAGTGGTGTAAAAGAGTCCAACCCCATCCCAGGGCTGCTCACCCCAAAACCTCCCTGTCCAGCTGCTGCAAAGTTCCTGGGGGACTGGGCAGGATCCTTGGCCTTGGGCTTGAGCCACCTCCTGCCCAGCTGCTGGGTAGCCAAAATTCCAGGCTGAGAGCCAGAACAGAGGGCAGAGCACAGCTCCCTTAGCTCTGGTAACATCACCACATTCCCTGTTTTCCACAGCAATTCTGTATGCAGAGAAGCAGCATTCTAACCCAGCTGGCCCTTCAAGTTCAATTCCCTCCCAGAACAGGAATAAAGAACTCTCCTGCCCTATTAGGGATGCAAATATCCTGATTCAGAGCTTGAAATTCCAAGGTGGATTTCTGACTTGCAGGTTTGTGATCCCAGTTTGCCCAGTGCTATTTACCCTTTACTACAGCCCCAGCCCCTGTTACCCCCCTGAGTCCCAGGTTTCCCCACAGGGATTTGCTCTCTAACCTGCAGGACAGACCTTTCATCCTACAGCTTTTTCCAGCCTGGGTAATGGGGAATCTGCTGCAGCTCCAGCCAGGAAAACAGCCAGGAGCTGGCAGGCAGCCTGAGCTTGAGCACTGGGGAGGAGCAGCTGCAGCTGACAGGGAAGGCAGGAGGATCACCCGGAGGAGGAGCTCAGTCCTGGATCCAGAGGGGACTGCAGAAAGGAAAAATGCAAAACAAAGCACTTAAGAAGGCAGAATTCCTATTTTGTCCCCACAAAACTGCTCTAATTCACAGGTCCTGTTATTAACTGGGATCAGCAGGATGAACAACCTGCTGGGGGAAGTGATGAGGCTACTCAAGAAGCTCAAGCTGTGTTGCCCCAGAGGCAACAAAGTGACTCCAGTAGAACCCAACAAGCATCACCCATCATTTCACTTGCAGAGTTCTAATCAGGAAGGATACATTTCTTGGAAAACACAGAAGACATCCTCAAATTTTCGTGCAAATCATTATGTGGCAACACAGTGCCAGGATTTGGATCCCCTGAACAAAGATGATACAAACCAACACCATACCAGTGCAAGTTTCATGAAACTTTTTATTCAACAAGTATTTAATTATGATTCTGCCAAGATGATCGAATGAACAGCAAGGCATAAAAAACATGAAATAGTTAAGAGATTTTATTCTAATAGCTTTAATTACAGTGCTTGTTTGTCGAAATGAAAAATGAAAACAAGTATACAAAACAGTTGATTACTAATTGTGTATTGAAAGCAATAACAACACTAAATAAACCAGTTCTGATAGTTCCTCGAGTTAAAGTTTAACAGCTCCAGCTTCTTCAGTGTTTATCAAAATACAAAAGAAAAGTAAAGAGGTCTTTTTTTTATTTTTCTGATGGCAAATCTGAACCTTGCAGTATGAGGGATGCCAAGGGTTTTCACACATATACAGATATGGGATTGTTCCAAAATGGGATTGAATACTTGTAGAGTGGAATGACTCTCCAAACTCTCATGCTTTTTTGTTTTTTTTCCCTAGACACTATACATAGATGTTTGGTGTTTTTCATGGCAATTCTTACGTTAGGTACAGTACTTTCTGCCTATAGAGCTTAGGACTAGGACAGGCTGTGCTTCCTGTGGAAAGGTTTTGCCTTCTGGAGTGGTTTACGCACAAGAAAAGTACAAAACACTTGTTGAAAATATGACAGGCTAACAATGTCGACTTCTGGAAATGATTCAAGTTCAATGGAAACGAGAAATCTCACCTGAACCAAAAGTCAGATGTTTAGCATGAGTCTGCAAAGCTCATCTAAACCAGGCCCAGAAAATCTTTTAACGGTTGTGGACAAAGATGAGCACAGACTATGAGCTACAGAAAGAGCCAGAGATCTACTACTTATGATCTGTTCATTAAGCAGATGAAGCTAATTGGGTGTCAGTCATTGCTTCACCCTTTCAAAAGAATCAAGAGTCACCACGTTAGAGCTGGAGCAGCAGAAGCGATGTCAAACGTTTGTGTGTTTTAAGTGTTTTTACTTTTCCTTGTCTGTTTAAAAAAATACAGAATTCAGGTTAAAAACCAACCACCAAAATGGATCTCACAGATCTCACAACCCAACCAAGATCAAATCCAGCTCTACTGCACAAGGACCACTGGCAACCCTTAGGTTATTAACCCACTTAATTCCCTTCCAGGTACTAAACAGTGACTTGATTCTTTACAATAAAAAAGCTGAGTAATATTGCATAGGAGTACCAGAAACTGCCTCATTGGAAACAAAAACTATTTACATTAAATAAGAAACCTAACTGTTTTCAGGCTTGTATTTGCCACATTTACAGCATGATGCAATATATACTGTGACAAAAAAGAAATGAAAACAGCTTCCGGCACTCAATACCACAAAGTAGCACAGTTTGCCACATTAGAGTAAAGCGAAGGGCGAGTAGGAGGAAATAAGAGGGAGGGGTGGAAAAAGAGGGAAGAGGAAGGTTTATGGTTTCATTTCTGGTTTCGGAGCTGATTGGACAACCAGTCCAGTCCTTCATAGAGACCGTCTCCACTAGTGGCACAGGTTGCCTGGATGTACCAGTTCCTGTGACGAAGAGAATGCAGTCCAAGTTTGTCTGTGATTTCTGCTGCATTCATGGCGTTCGGCAGGTCCTGAGGGAAGCAACAACAGTCAATCCCCACTCTTTTCATCACCAGCTTTAGAGGCATTACAAGACAGTTAGGAGATCTCAGAATGTCTCTTTCAGAAAACCCCAGGGGATTACTTTGATATTCAAGCTATTTCCCCAACACTGACAAAAGCCTCAAAGGTTTAACAAACCAATCTAAATCAGCATTATGGAATATTTCATAGGGAAGCCAGACAGCTGATGCCTGGATCCAGTCATTTCCCCAGTGCTGACAGTGCTCACAATTCCAAGTCAGAATCCTCCTGAGTGGAAACATTCTGTGACTGCAGTTATGATTTAAGATCAACTGTTATCACCCAGTACTATTCTGCTGAGCACAGCCTCTTCAGAGCCCACCTTTCCTGCTCCTGGCCATGACTTATGGCATCTTCCCCCTTCCCAACTGAGGCCGTGCAATCAGTGGAGCAGGATGTTATTCCCTCTTTACATTTCCTGGTCACATTTCAGGCCCTTGACATTTAGGGTTAAGTTGCCAAGACCTCTACAAGCAATAAAAGGCAGAACTCTCAGCTAACTCTGAGGCCTGGGAGTGCCCAGCTCACAAGTCAACACAAGCACATTAAAACACCAGTGCTCCACCAACACCAGCAGCGCCCTCAAACACCTGAAATGAGGAATTCAGGGAGGTTCTGGCATTCCAGCACTCCTCTCTGGAGGAAGTCTGGGCAGGTGCTGTAATTGAGCCATGTCAACCTTAAAAATCAAACTAGTTTTCACTAAAACTAAAAATCTCTTAGCCAAGACTGTTTAGAAGGCTGCTCCTTTCAGATGAGAATTTAATCCATGTTTTTCTCCCTTCAACATACCTCAATGGCCATTTACTCTGAGTTTGTTTATCATTACACTGAAAATATGAAAATCAAGGTCAAGATCTGCCACTCACAAGGATGTTGGAAGTTTTCAAGGGTTCTGACAGACAGACACCTTTCTTGGGCATACCTGTTTGTTAGCAAACACTAATAGAACAGCATCTCTGAGCTCATCTTCTGCCAACATTCTCATAAGCTCTTCTCTGGCCTCATTCACACGTTCTCTGTCATTGCTGTCAACCACAAAAATCAGACCTAGAAATAAGCAAACAAGAATAAACGTAACCTTGAAGTCTCATGTCTGAGAGAAAGTCTGTTGTTGCTGAAAGCTGGTGAAAACTGGTGATGGTTTGCCTTTGTTTCTGCAACTTGGGTACTTTTTCTACACAACCACTTGGCATTTTCCAGGGAGCAGCAGCTCCTGAAATGCTGTGACAGGACTCAAAGACACACATGAAAAAGGCCCAGCAGTGACAGAAGTGACAAACCCTCAGTTCATGGGGCTGCAGAGCTTTCAGTGAAGACTCTGCTTTGAAGTGAGGGCAGAGTTGTGATGCTGACAGAAGAAAAACAAACTCCTGAACTGGCTCTGAGTCAGAAGGACAAGGAAGACTGGTTTCTGGAATTCTTCCCATCCTTCTTTGAACCTGCAGTGGCTTAAGAGAAAAGCCAGAGCAGCACACAAACACACCCTTTTATAATACTAATAATAAATATTTCCACTCCCCTCCAAGAAATTTGCTAAATTAACTTTGTGAAGAGTCAAAAAACTCTTTTAGATTCTGGGAAGCTGGGAATCAGGTGAGTGCACTCACCTTGTGTGTTCTGGAAGTAGTGGCGCCAGAGGGGTCTGATCTTGTCCTGACCGCCCACGTCCCACACTGTGAAGCTGATGTTCTTGTATTCTACCGTTTCCACATTGAAACCTAAAACAAAAGAGATTGTGGCATAAATCTCACTTAAACATAACTGGCCTGTTGTATTTAGCAAGTCACACTCAAAGACTGTCATCATTAAAAAAAGTTCAATTAAAATTGGAATTTAAACCAGAATCCTGCACTGAAGCTCTCAAAGCAAACAAGGGTTGTCCTGTTCCCACCATCACCCCAGTGAACAAATCTAACTGCTACCTGAGCAGCTACAAAAAACAAACTATGTTGTCTAAAAAAATATCCCAAATAAACAAAAAAACCACCCTAACCTCCCCTGGGTTTTAAGAACTGCAAGTCTCAATACCTGCCAATAAAAAAAGGGGAAAAAAAAACAATCTCTTTTTTTTTTCAGAGGGTGAACCCTCATGACCAACATGATACCACAACATCCTGGGAGACAAATTGCCTTTCTGTGGCTCACAAAGGCTCATTACACAAGTGACTGATTGAGGAGTGATGAGAAAATAATCACAATCTCCTCCCATGACAAAACATCTGGCTGTGCCACCTTCACACCACAACTTTAGCAAGTGTTTGTTCTGACAGACAAGTCACTTAAATCAGCTGGGACCCAAATCTCAAAGCCACCAGTTAGAGAAACATAAAACTCTTACCTATAGTAGGAATAGTAGTTACTATTTCACCAAGTTTAAGTTTGTACAAAATAGTTGTCTTTCCTGCAGCATCCAGGCCAACCATTAGAATACGCATTTCTTTTTTGCCAAAAAGGCCTTTGAAGAGGTTAGCAAAAATATTTCCCATGGTTGAGATATATTCTCACTGGCCACTGAAGTCTAAAGGAAAAAAGATCAGAGTATCACTCATGAGTAACCAACAGCAGTGTTCTGACCACGACATTAAAAACCTCAAAAAAACAAAGTAAGAAAACCCCCAAAAAAACAAAGTAAGAGATAATGTGAATTATTTATAGATACCCCAGCACCACTGAACATTTTCCCCCCACTGAAGCAACACAAAGATGAACAGATGTACCAAAACTCGGTGCTCATGAAATGACTCAGCTTTAAGTGCCTGAAATGCTTCAAGTATTCTTTCAGAGATTTTAGCATTAATTGCTGCTCTCAAACTTTTGCTTGCAAAATTCATACAGCTGACCACTTCAGGTACTGTGCTCCCCACTGTCATGGGATCATTTATCTGCAGAAAAGTGTCACCATAAAACAAACTTTTCCCAATTGACCTGCAGATGATAAGTTTTTGCCTAGCACAGCAATAGCTGGTCCTTTTTGGGAGGAAACTCTGAATACAGCTTAGATTTTCTCCTACTCAGAAATTTCCTTCCTCTCCATCCCCAAGGAAATGGTCTGTGAACAGCACATAAACACAGAGCAGTTACTTTCATTAACAGCTGAGGGAAACCTTCTGTAGGAAGTAAATCCACATTTAATCAAACTTAACTATGGAGAATTAACAGCCACATTAAAAGAGCAGGTTCAGAGATGAGCACTTCCTTCACAGCCAACACTCCTGCCTGGATGATTAAAGTGATTAACGTCAGCAGGAGCTTCCTGTTTAGGAACTGCAGAAGCTGCCTCTGCACTCCAGCCTCAGACACTTCCCTGTGCCCTTGGGACCTGACCCATCCCAGCATAAACTCCCCCCCTTCCCAAACTTATTCCTGCACAGTTTACAGCAGGATTGAAACTCCCATGAGAACTATTGCTGTGCTCACACAAAGCATGAGAAAGCAGCCTGGAGCTTCACAGACACACTGCAGGATGACAGGGACAATTCACACCCTCCCTGATGCTGGCTTTAGAAGCTCTCAGGTGCCAGCTTAAGAAGAGACAGAGCCCAACTGAAAATTCAAATTTCAGGTGAGATGCACAAACAGCCAATACATTCAAAGCATGAGTTTCCTGTAAACCAAATCAAATTTAAAGCATAACACGAAGCTTGAATCGTCTCTAGAAATATTCTGTATTTCACGATGAAGCTGTAAGCGAAGCAAAACTCTCCCTTAGAGAAAGACTTTACAGAGTATCTATTTAAGAACATTAAAGCAAGATTTGGATTGAAAAACACACCACAGCACAAAAGCCTTTTCCCTCTCTGTTTACTGACGTCCGAATCGTGTCTGATACCTGTTCCCCACCCTGCACTGGGAAAGGGCTGAGCAGTCCTGTCCTCTTCAGGAAGCTTTGCTGGATACAATTTTGAACCCAAAAGTCAAACTCTGTAACATTAACCAAACCACGTGTCTAAGCACCCACAGCTCCACAGGGAAGTTCAGAGTCCACTCCAGAGTTCCTGAAGGACGTCAATCTCCACATACCAACTTGCTGAAGCAACTCGAGCCAAAGATTCATTTATTTTATATGACTGAAGCTTTAAAACTGAACTCCTCTACAAACCAGACTGGGCAGCCTGGGGATTAAAACCAAAGGGGAGGTTAAAACTTCTATTATTCCACCATTTCCTTTTGTGTTTCTGCAGCGTGACCATGGATATTCCACTCCCACTGGAATATACGAAGGCTATATAAACAGGAAGGTTAATTAGGCAGCAGAGAAAACAGTTTTGCTGCAGTCCCCATTTCTCCACAGCAGGAAATCTCCCATCCCAGCCCACAGCAAAGCTCTCACCAGGCTGGAGGGCAGCGAGGCTGTAAAGCTTCCCTTTGTCTGGCTGCTCATGCCACCTCTATCTCCTGCTTCATCTGGAAAGCAGCAGTCGGGGCTGAACTGTGACCTCTCACCAGAGCTCACAGAAAGGGACTGCAGGAACTTTTGCAGCAAGAGAACCTTAGAAGCCTGCACAAAGAATGCCTTTCTTTGGTTTGCACACATTTCAAAGCTTAAGAGGTTATCAAACGCTCAGACTGATCACAGTAATTAGGTAAAAGAGCAAAAATCCTATCATTTACATCCGTGACATCTTTCCACACACTGGAGAAGTTACAGGCTGCTGAAGAAATTGCTTGTACTTGGCACTAACAGCAGTGAATCCCGTTAGATCCTTGTTTTCCTGGCAGCTATTTCCAGGTCAAGCCTGCCCTTCGCCATTGAAGCTGCTTTTATACCACCCCCCATCCCTATTTTTACTTTTTGTGAAGAATAAGAAGTTAAGATCCATTTAAGCACTCGGTTGCCATTTCCCTCTTGTTCTCTTCCACACTGCTCCCATCCAAACCCATTCTGTAACTTTATTTGGTACTTCAGGGTAGGTGGCATTACAAAAAGTCACATTTATTTTTACAGGCAGCACAGTATAGTTTACAGCCCACTCCTGAAAGAAAAGTGTGTTTACAAGTTGACTAAAAAGTAGCTGAATCCTTGCTGTGTAAAAGAAAAGCAAACCAGGAGAAATCCATCTGCAGAACTCCCACAAACTGTTTTGTTTCCCATCAGGGTTTTGTTGGATGGGGCTGGGACAAGGTCCCTGTCCTCCCCATGGGTGGGACCAGAAATTATTCACGTTCATCTCTTCCCACAGGGAAGGAACTCACACTCCATGGTTTGTACTTCACACTCCTCTCTCTCTCCCTGCCCTGCCACAGGAACTGCCTGGAAGGGCCCGAGCTGCTTCCCAGGCCTGGCTGCCTGTGTTAATACAGCTCAGCTGAGGGATCACGGGACTGCTCCCTCTGCACTCCCAGCACTGAGCTTTAATTCCCACCCCAGCCCATTACTTGCACCGTGAGTCTGAAAAGTCTTTTGATTTCCTCGTATAGTAAATTAAACAAAACCTTCTGTTGTTTTTCAGGCATCATCACCCCTTGCAATGTACATCCTGACTCACCAGTATCTGATCTGTATTCCTTACTGAAGTTTAACTTCCTCCTTCCCTCCACCCAAATGTTGTCTGTAATTGCTACACCGTTTCAGGAGCACAAATTGGATAAAATTCCTGAAAACATAAAAGACTACGGCTTGTGAGCTGCTTGTAGTGCTCGAGCACATCTTCAAAAGAGGGATGCATCAGGCTAAGTGGGAAGATTTGAGTATGAAAGGCAACGATTTGAATAAACAGCACAGATTATTTTTGCAGAGCTCAGTGTGTATTTTCCCTCAGCACAACTCCAGCTTCTGGAAACGGCAGCTCAGCACCCCTGAGCAGACCCTGATCACCCCAGCACTGTCTGTCTGTCTGTCCCTGCCCATGGAAGCCCTACAGCACTTGAACACACTGCACTAAAAACCCGTCAGGCAGGCTCGGCTAAGATAATGTGCCATTGGTAAACAGCAGCGCTGACGTTTGATGGGGAAGTTACAGTTTCGTTTCATGAAACAAAAGTATTTTCAGCCTCCTGTTTTCTAGTAAATGATACATTCAGATAAGCCATTAGGAGAACAGGCAGCCTTTTGCAGAGAGGCTCGGAGTGAGGAGTTAAAAATGAATGAGTGTCTGCAATAGCAGCAGCCCGGTGGTTGTTAAAGTGATACGGCCCATGAGGAAGAAGCAGAATCTGCTTTTATTAATTGTAGGTGGTTAGAATAAGAGCTCTGAGGAATATCTCAGGGCCAAAGAGCACTGAACACTTAATCATCCTGCAGTATTTTCTATTTAAACGTGTATTAATGCATTTGAATGTCATTTCATTCAGGCTGTTTATATCATGAGAAGCCAAATTTGCTGCTTGACCTCCAAACTCCTTGGGTGAGCTTGGTTAAGAACCCCACGGATGTATGACCAGAAGGGTGTGCAGGCCATCAAAGAGAGCATAACACACCTTGAAATTCCCATAGGCCCTCAGTTTTACACCTCTGGGAAAGTTCTCTTTGACCACATAGCAATTAAACTCCCCTGAAACAGGAGTTGTGTTTCATTTAGCTTTACACCATTTCTTTAAACATACCAGAGATAAAATGAGAGGCCAAGGCAGAAGATGCCATATGCATTATTTAGTCTGCATTTCTTTATACTGCAGTATAGATACACATTTATTTCACTTTTATGGACCAGCACTTACCACATAAGGCTCCCACAGTGAAAAAATAACACATCAAACTCTGCAAGTGTTACAATCAAACTTGCTGGGCCTGTAATTTTGGCAATCTGAAAATCCCAGCATCCATGAATACTGCAGGGGGCTGGAACCAGAGGAGCTTTAAGGCCCCTTCCAACCCAAACCATTCTAGGATTTTATGGTTCTGTGATAAGATCAGTCACAAAAAGTTGAAGCACAGCAGGCTGGGATAGAGGAACAGAGGGCATTTGCTGTCTCTGGGAGCTGTTCTTCTCCCTGGGATGTTCCTATATTTTAAATGCCCATTTCAAGGAGAGATAAACACGGTGCCACTACCAAAGACACACTGAGCTACACGGCTACAATCAGCCAAAATATTCAAGCACAGGTAAAACCCACAACAGCTGCAGGTTAACCAAAAATGCTCCTTCCGGCACCTTGGCAAGTAAAACTGGTAAAACTATCAAAATTCCATCTCCATTTAAAGGAAAAAATCTACTTGATATTGGCCTGAGCTTTAACTCCATGTCTAAAATAATTAGAAACCCCTCAAATCCGTAATTCCTAACCCGGTATTAACATACTGGTTCTATCAGTCACAGGGGAACAAAAATGGATCAATTTGTTATTTACCAGAAATATTGATTTGAAATTCAGCCAGTTATCACTAGTTGGCCTGGACCATTCTATCTCATTTACAGCATTCTAGAATGTTTTAAATTAAATTGACAAGAGAAACAAAATACTCACACAAGAGATCACCAAACCAACGTGCAAATAAGAGGTGAGAAAGCATTATGTAAAAAACCCATTCAACTCCAACAGCTGTTACTGGTGTAACAAGCAAGAACAACTGGCAAATAATTTCAAGTGCAAATGTAACCCTACAGCTTGTTCTTAACAATATAAAGTGTGGTTTAAAGGAGAAAGTGAGAAGAGAGCCAACAAGAATAGAACACTGCTAAAATTCAGGATTAATCTACAGCCCCAGTGTTTCACACCTCCACTCAGCAGGGAACAGTACTGATGTGTTCTCTTGAACTCGAAATAATTTTTTTACAGATTAAAGTGTTTTGTTACAGCAAATTTTGGAAACACCTCTTTATATATGGCAGGGTGGCCCAATACACTATTCCAGTACAGTTACATTCAACTATTTTTAGAAACTGTTTACTGGCCTTCCACATCTGCTAACCTGAGAGATGACAATTCATCAACCCAAATCCTTTAACTTTGGGGCTTTAAGACTAAAATTTAGCTCAGGTGATTTTGATTTGTGTTCCTTTAGACCGTATCAATATCAGTAGCATGGATTACGTGTAAAATGCAGGAGCAGCCAACAGGCAGGCTGAGCCCTTTGTTCACCAGGTGATTCATTATCCTGCACAAACAGCACTGTAATAAAGGCCATGGCAACATCATCTTCCCTGAGCTCTTCATTAATATTAAGTCCTAACTCCTTTATCATTTTAACCATTAGAACCAGGAGTCTTAACTGCGTGGAGATCGACACTGAGCACTGCAACCATTTCCCCCCATTCACACTGGGGGTGCTTCTGCCAAGCTTGGGGTCCTGAAGGATCATTACCTGGTTATTTGAGGGAAAAGGCAGCAGCACTGAAATCAAAGTTAAAGATACATAACTGTGCTGGCATCTAAATAGGAACTGTTGCTCATCTAAGAAAGGTTCCAAAAGCACTGTGCATGTCCAAGGCACATGGAGGACAGGACAAGCACAGGTGAGACACCAGGTGAAAGGAAATCTCCTTGTCCAGCACCTTTGTTTAACCCGAGGAGGTTGAACACCCCATACCTTACTCAGACAGGACATTTCCCACATGCTGGAACATTCTCTTGAGAGCACTGGGCTTGGAGTGGCAGAAAACAGAAAACAGTTTCACTTAGAAGATCAAAACAAGGACAAAAGAGGGAAAATTTCCTTTGGGGTCATGCCTATTTCCCAGACATGAGAACAACTCATTCCTAAAACAATGGCCAAAATAAAAAGAGTCAGTATCAAGGTTGCTTGACTTGATACTCAAATCCCAAATCAGAATTATTCCCTTATTCTCACCTTCAAGCAGGGAAAGCAAACTGCTGCTGTTTCACAATAAAATCTCCAACTATTTTTAAGATTTATATACTACCATAAATACAGAAGCACACAAACCAACCTAGAGGAGAAACAGGTATCTGGTCTGAAAAATATCTTATTTAAGGGACAGGCAGACAGGTAAAAAGCACAGAGGGACTTGCATCCATGCCCTTCCCTGCTCAGGAAATATTGTGGTGCCAATAATGCAGCTGTGAACCCCAAGAATGGCCTGTGACTTTCTGCTCACCAGTTCAGAACTGGGTACACTGGTGTGAGAACTGGTGGGTACAAAGAATTTATTTTCAGATAAGAGGTGCACAGTTGGGGTGTTTTTTTATTTTTGAGGCTGAATTGTTCCCGAGTTCAAAATCTTCAATTTTAAGCCAAATATCCTGTTATTCATTCCCAGGAACTGGGCACTAAGTCAACATTTACACTCCTAGAAGAAATGGCAAGAACTCACACGAGAGCTCCATCCAGCAATGAAATTGGCTTTTGGTTTGGGGAAATGTCAAGGCAGAGCCTCTGAGTTGTGAGGTACCAGAGCAGTGGGTGAACAAGAGCTGTGTTAGACACGAGTTTTATTAGAACTGAAACATCAGCAAAAGCTCCACCACAGCCCCTCCGACGTTTGTGTGTGTTAAAAATAAGGAATAAAAACGGATACTCGCAAGCAGAAAGAAAAAAATGCTGAATTACACAGAAAAAACAGCTGCTGTAGTAGGAAGCTGATTCTGAACTTCTTTACTCATCAGTTAAAGAAAGGGAATGGCTGAGGATGGCACCAGCTCTAACACAAGCTCTGTAGCATTCCAGGAGGAGAACTTCCAAGAGATTTCTAAAAAAAGAATCAGAACTATTCCTTTTCAGATAAAGTTAGCTCACGTTCACCAAACTTATCCACTGCAAAGCAAGCTGAATGCTTGGGAAGGCTGTTGAAATCTGTAAGAATTCTTGCTGGAAAGCCCATCTTTAAAAATAGGAGGTTGTTTTAGAAGTAAAAGCTTCTGGGATATGTAAAGGTGGTTCTTTAAATTTCACCACTGCCATTTCAGCTGGGATCCTGGGCTGTGAGCTTTTCTTCCTTCCATCAATTCATGTCATCAATGGCTTAGCTGATAATTATCTGTGTAAATGTTCCTGCTTAAAGCAGCTGGAGCACAGCACAGTTTGGTGAATTCCCAGGAGCAGAATCCAGCCCCTACTCCCACACACGCTTGGTTTGCCTTGAAAAGCTGTGCCGGGTCCTCCCCCCACCTTGGTCAGCATGACTAACACTCACAGGGAACTCGGTGCACGAGCTCGGCTCCTGCCAGGCCCTTCCACATTCCAACTATTTCACAACCTGGGGAATGTTCAGGGAAACCAATCTGAGATCCTTGGACCATTTACACCGAGGGGGTTTGACTTGTGACAGGATTTGCATCACAAACACGAAGCTGTTCCGAGGGGAGGGCGGCTCTGCTCGAGCCATTTTAATTCCCGATGCTCCACCACGGGAAGCACCAACAAAATTGGCAAAGCTGTGGAATTTGAGTGCTGGAGGTTCAATTGAGGTGAGTTTCCTCGCCCTTTCACCCAATGCAATTATTCCAACAGAGAAAGCAGCCCAACAGGGCTCTCCAGCACTGCAGACATGTTTGTGGCAGAGAAAATCAGTGGCATCAAACCAACCCTAAAAACTTTCTTTTCAGAAAATTCTTTTATCCATAAAGCTGTACCCCTATTTTATTCCATTATAAACCCCATGAATAAAAGCAAAATAGCAATCCTCCACTTCAGCCACACTTCCTTTTTTCCCCCCCAGAAGCGCTCCAAATCAGCAGCAAAAATAGCAATAAAGATATTGCTGAATGACCTTGGAGAAATCCACTTTGCCTTGGTTTCTCCGCCTGGAAAATAAGGTTAATGGAATACCCTGCAAAGGGGTGCTGCGAGCCTCGCAAGACAAAGCTCGAAGTATTAAATAAATACCTGGAATTTTCGTTATTGACAAAGCTACAATTTCAACACCAGACCTCTGGTCACGACTCTAATCAACCTGTGGAATTTGCTTTGGCAGGAGCAGAGCGGCAAAGCCACAAGGTCAATGTCAAACGCGACAACATTTGGGGCAGTTTTATGGCCCTGGCAGAGTTTTGGTCTCGCTCTGTTGGGGCAGAGCTGGGCTATCACCTCATCACATCGAGGTTTATCAGCCCCAAAGTATCACGTTCACCTCTCACAGAGGCAGGATGGAGTATTTTCAGACAGAATATAATATCCTCCCACCGGGAGCTGCCCCGCCAAGGAAAGCTGATCTCCCACACCACCAAAGCCCAGCCGATGGATGGCAAACAAGAGTTGTTTGCTCCAGGATAAAGCTCAACTCCTCAGACCAGCAAAAAAACACCAACTCAGCAGCCAAGGGCTTACACAGAAACAACCTCTGCCCTACGAGCTTCACCCGAGCCTCGTTTCCCCCACCAGACGTGGATTTTCGGGGGCAGAGGAGAAGGAGGAAATGTCTGTCCTTCCTCGGAGCCGGCCACGGGCGGGGCAGAGGCCGGAATGAGCGAGTTTGGGGAAGGGAGGACAAGCCCATCCCGTCTAATGCCATCGCTAGAGGGAGCGGAGAGGGGCCTCGAGCAGCTGCTGGCGAGCTGGAGCGATTCCCCTTTCCCAGCCCTGCCTATCCCACCCCATCCCACCCACAAGCAGGGAAGGGAAAGGCCCGAACCCCCCACCGCCCCTAAATCGTGGAGAGGGGAGACAGATGGGGCAGCGCTACTCACGGAGGCCTCTAGTTCTGCGAGGGAAAAGGAACGAGTAGGGATAAGATGGAGCGAGAAGGAATTGAAAGGAATGAGAAGGGAAAAGGAGGAAAGAACAGCCTGGCCCCGCTTCCTCAGCGCCCGCCACCGCCTCCCCTTAGCGCCAAGGCCGCGGGATGCGGACGGGGGCGCGGCGCGGCGGGCTGGGGGAGGACAAAAAAGGCTCGAAAGGAGGGAAGAAGAAGGCGTCGGCAAACCCACCGGCGTCGTCGGGAGGCGCGGGCCGTGGGTCTGGCTGCGCTCGGAGGGTCCCGCTCGGAGCCCGCTCGCCCCGGCCGCGATCCGCCCTGGAGCACAAGATGGCGGCGCGATGCGGCCACGTCAGTGCCCGCCCCGCGCGAGGCACCACGGGCAAGCGAGGAGGGAGCAGGGGGCGTGGCCTGCGCGGAGGGGGCGTGGCCAAGTCGGGCTGCGGCAGGGCCGGATTGCGCTGGGGGCGTGGCCTAAAGACGCAGTGGGCGTGGCTATAGCGGGAGCGACAGCTCTGCGGGGATGGGGGCGTGGTCTGAGCTGAGTGGGCGTGGTCACGGCGGGAGCAGCAGCTCCGGGAAGGCTCGGGGGCGTGGCCAAGCCTCAGGCCACGCCCACCGGCGGACGCGGAGCGCGGCGTGCGCGGGGCCGGGATCCCCCGGGATTGCGGGAATGGGATGGAATGGGATGGAATGGGATGGAATGGGGCGGAATGGGGCGGAATGGGGCTCGTGGGGACCGTGCCTGCCCTTCCTGCACGGCTCCCCTTCACTGCCCTGTGTCTTCCCCTTTCCCTGCGCTCTTCTCACTTCCCTGCACCAGTCCTCCCTTTTCCCTGCCCCGTTCCCCTTCCCCTGTATCATTCCCCTTTTCCTGCATAATTCCTCTTTCCCTGCAGCGTTTCTTCGCCTTCCCTGCATCATTCCTTCCTTTTCTTTGTACCTTTCCTCCCCTTTCACTGCACCGGTCCCACTTTCCCTGCCCTGTTCCCCTTTCCCTGCCCCTTCTCTGCGCCGTTTCTTCCCTCTTCCCTACACTGTCGCCCCCCCTCCCTTCATCGTTCCTGCTTTCCCTGCCCCGTTCCCCTTTCCCTGTATCATTCCTTCACCTTCTCTGCACCATTCCTTCCTTTTCCTTGCACCATTCCTCCTCCTTTCCCTGTACCAGTCCCCCTGTCCGCCCATCGTTCTCCTTTTCCCGCTTTCTTATCATTTCCCTGCACCATTCCCCTTTCCCAGAAATATCGGAAATATTCCCCCTTCCCTGCAGCATTCCTTTACCTTCTCTGCACCATTCCTTCCCTCTTCCCTGCACTGTTCCCCCCTTCCCTTCATCGTTCCCCCTTTCCCTGCTCTGTTCTTTTCCCCTTCCCTACACCTCTCCCCCGTTCCCTGCTCTGTTGCTTTTCCCTGCATCATTCCCCATTTCCCTGCACCGTTCCATCACCTTCCCTGCACCAATCCTTCCCCTTTTCCTGCACCATCCCCCATTCCCAAAGCAGCCAGCAATCTGCTCTGAGCTCTCACACCCTGGGTGCTGCTCCAGCCTCTCTGTGCCTCAGTTTCCCCATCCAGGGAAAAATCCTTTAATTTTTTTTTTTAACCTAAGCAATTAGTTTTCACTATTTAAACTAATATTAATTCATTTTACCTTATACAGGATTGAGGGAACAGATCAGCACAGCAGTGTCTTAACTCCACATGGTTTCAAAACTCAAGAGGTGTAGAAATAACTGTGCACAATAAATTTAGGCTTATCTCCTTTCTGTTTTGGGTTAGCTTTGAGATAAATCGAGGTCATCTGCTGTCCTAGGCTAAATACTAAATACTTCCTTTGTTAAAGACAGGACGAGAAGTTTTGAAACACAGCAGGAAGCCACCAAAACTCCTTATTTCCAGATTTCCCCCGATGCTCATAGGAAATGAATACCTCGAAGACCTCCATCCCCTGTCAAACGGGGTTGAAATCACGCAGCATTACACAGAGAACACAGACAGGCAGATGGGCGTGAGCCCAAAAGCTTCTTTTCCTAAAAAAAATGGGTCACACGCAAGAGAGATGGCAGCAACAGGGCTGAGAAGTGCCAGGAGGGAGCCTGGGCAGCAGGCAAGATCATCCCTGTGCTTCTTCTAGGGAGGCACCATCCCCATGCAGAGCAGGTATAAATTAATATTATTATTTTGCTTAAGAAAGATCCTAAATTGCATTAAATCTCCCCAGACAGTCACTCAGCAGCAGCAGCACTGATGGGCTAATAAAGTGATGGCAAAGACACGCTGAGAAATCAAATTAATCCTGTTTTCCTGCACTGTGGAAGCTGACCTGGCTGAAATGGGGGGGTTTCAGGAGGAGGAAAACTGTTCCAGGGGACAGATTGTTGCCCACCTCGATGCCCAGAGCTACCACTGGGATCACAGATGTCCCTGTCCCTTCGGTGCAGCCCTGGCTTTGTGACTTGTTTGGGACACAACAGCCTCCAGGACCTGCTTTAAGAGAGACTGAGTTGAACCAAAAATACCAGATGAGATTTGAGGAGAATAAGGAGACTTTGCACTTGCTCAGGGCTTCTGGGGAGAATCTGCCTCTGTCCTTGCTGGGTATTTTGGGAGAGCCCTGGGCCAGGAGCTGAACTGGGAGGCTCCGTGTGTCCGTGATAGGAGTTAGCAGCAAAATCTTTAACAAATTTCTCCCCATCCCCAAAATCCCCTCCTAGCCACAGCTGAGCTGAGCAGCCCTTGTTTCACAGCCCTGTCTCCATGCCCGGGTGGTGAACCAGATCAGAGCTGCTCTGAGTTAAAAATAACCCTTCTCTCCTTTTCCTTTTTTTTTTTTTTTTTTTTTTTTTTTTTTTTTAACCCAGAGCAACTCCTCATTTTAGCTCACTCAGGGGAGAAGATGCTCAACCCCACCACCCCATCGGGGTGAAAATCCAGCTGGTGGAGGTGCAGAGCAAGTCAGAGGAGGTTATTTCATGACCATCACCCGTGACACATCACCAGTGAGATCTGATTTCATTATTATCACCCTGTGCAGACCCAAGTGGACGCTGAGCTCGGGGCCCCGTGTCCATCTGATTCATTCCCGAGGCTGCTGTGATGCAACTGGAGCCCTTTGCCCAGTGACTCACAGCATTCGTGGAAAGAAGAGAGAGGCCTCAGTTTCTTTTTCAGATGAGGCAGCAGAAGCACCCCTTGCTTTCCTCATCCTAAGAAAAATCCACGTTTTTCTCATCCTAAGAAAAACCCATGTGGGAGAAGGACAAAATAGGAAGGGATCCCTCAGGGCAGCTCAGCTCATTTTCTGGGTGTTCCCAGGGTTCCAGAAAATCCTCTGGATATTCCTGGATGGCCACTTTGGAGAATTTTCCTCCCCTCTGGGAGCCTCTGATGACAAATCTGCAGCTGAACTACACCCTGTTCTCACTGCTCTTTTGGAAAAAAAAAAAAAAAAGAAAAAAATAAAAAGAATAAAAGTGTTTGTGCAAGGCGATTTCTGAGGTTATAAAAATATCACCCAAAGTTACCAAGCACTTCCCAAGCCATCCTTTTCCTTCTGCATCTGCCCCAAGGGAAAAATACCACAGGCTGGATTTACTTTTGCTTCAGGGGCCCCCAAAATAATCTTTTCTCCCAAGTGTGGGCAAGCTGTCTTTATTGAGAAGAATCTTGATGAGAACATTTGGAATAATGGGGTGGTGGAGACCCCTGAGCAGGTGGCAGAGATGTCCAACCATTAAATCCCTCCTGGTGGTGATGGAAAATTAATTTTGAGGTGTTTTGGGGTGGACACCCACCCCAAAAGAGTGGAAGGGGCTGAAGGACACTGGGGTCCATCACTGCTCCGTTTTCTGCTGCCCTGGAGCTCCTGGTTGCTGTCAGGTTGAGGATTTCTCACCTCTGAGTCTCTCACCTTGAGGTGAGAATTGCAATTACTCACAGGAGCTGAGAAATTACACCAACCTCCACCCCTCCAGCAATTTGCTATGCTCCCTACCAAAAATAGCGATGGTTCCTGGAATTTGTGATCCTGGGGTCACCTCTAGCTGGGCTTGGATTGTTGAAAAGATGACAGATCTAATGCTGCTGCTCATGTTTCACCATCCTGGAAGAAAAAGGAAAGTGGAAAGAGGAGAGAAAAGCAAGAAAAGCTCTACACGGCTGCCTGGAGAGGCAGAAAAATCAGAATATTTGCATTCAGAGCTTTCATTTTGCCGTGGTTTCTCCTCTCAGAGCTGATTTAGGTGGCAGAAGGATCCACTCATCTGGAGCACCTTTGAGAGCCCCTCAGCTGTGGCACTGAGGGCTGGAGAGCAAAGGGAGCAGATCAGCTCTGTTCTCCCAACACCAACTCCTCAGGGATGTTGGGAAAATTGCCTCAGCTCTCTCTGCCTCCGTTTTTTGTTCCTCCTTCACTTGGAAGCAGCTGCATTTCATGAGTCAGTGGCGTGCAGGGTAACCTGGCAGTCAGGAGATGTTTAACACCAGCACTGCTGATTGCTGACACCTCGGGAGGAAGCTGCAGCAGCACTGGGTGTTGGGGCAGCCTTGGTGATGCCTTTTGGTACCCAGGAAAGGTGGCTTGGATGGGAAAAGTTGATTTTTTTTTGTGCTGTCGGAATCACAGAATGGGTTGGGTTAGAAGGGACTTTAAATATTCCTCATTCCACCCCCTGCCATGGGCAGGGACACCTCCCACTGTCCCAGGTTGCTCCAAGCCCTGTCTGACCTGGCCTTGGACACTCTCAGAGATCCAGGGGCAGCCACAACTTTGGGAAATCTCTTCCAGGGCCTCCCCACCCTCAAGTGTCAATGGAGATAAAGAGGAGGGATTCACCCATCCTGCTCCAGACATCACCTCCAGCAGGTTCCATCACCAGGGGAAATGAGCACACTCAGCTGGTGAGATTCCCCCTGGGAGCACAGGCATGGACTGGGCACGTCTCCCACATAATTTTGACCACAAACACTTAATTTGCTCAGTATTTAGATTGGAAAATGTACTCTGGTGTGGTTACTGCACTAAAAAGAGAGAGAAAGTACAGAAACACACATGGACATTTATAGGGAAGAAAGGCCAATTTATTGTACAGACAGCCCGGATTTACAGTGTGTTACATGCAGCCAGGACAGGACAGGAGCTCATTGGACAATTGGGAAAAACATCCTTGGGACAGCACCTCAGGATGTGTCCCACGGGAAAGACACCAGCTGTTAATCTTTATTATGAATTCCACTCTGTTTGTCACCATGTTCTCACCCTGGCAGACTCCTCCCTAACTGAAGCTGCAGTCAGCTTGTCAGCCTGGGAATGGAGCTGAGAGTCAGGAGAAATCCAGACCTGAAAAGAATTTCCAAGCTGTAAT